CATGTGACTGTGTTGCATACGACTTATTTACCACTTTCGTGTCACTGAGATATGTTCTAGAACCGTACTGTGTCTGGGTGGAATATTCTAGATTTTTTTTAGAAACTGGTTGAATAGGTAATGGAACACTGTAGAAGGCAATAGAAGGTAATGGAACATTCTAGAAATTTGTAGTAAGTTCCAGACTTATTATGTATGCTGATGTAATGGTCTATTTATAGACAGTGGGGGTATACCGGTACATGTATATAGGGGAGTTGTTCAGCACTGAGTTCAGATCGGAGATCTCGTAGAATTGTATTGGAGTTTAAGTATCTAGTCATTGGAGTAGTGGAGTTTTACCGCGTTATTGTACTTGATGTTTGCAGAGTATAATATTACCAGTACCAGTTGAAACCTCATCTGTTGGCTCCGTGTTGTATTTTATCATCGCCGCCAGGGAAGTCTTTCTGTTACTGTTGCCATTTTGGTATTTGAACCATCACACCTGTACTATACCAATTACGGTAATATTACGTTGCGTATGACAGACTGGTTGCCAGGGATACTCCCTTATTCATTTTAATAGTTGTAGTGTTCTGTGTGGTTGCTATAGACATGTGACTGGTTGCCAGGGATACTCCATTATTCATTTTACTAGTTGTAGTGTTCTGTGTGCTTGCTATAGACATGTGACTGGTTGCCAAGGATACTCCCACAAGAAAGTAGTTGTGTAGCGGATTGGTGGTCCAAGTAAAAGCAAATCTAATGAAAGTCCACTTAAAGTGGGTTTCATAAGTTAAACATTTTTTGAGAAGTTGTTTACAGTTGGATGATGACCAATGGACAATGGCTTAGAAGCCTGTTAGATCAATGAGCTAATAAAAGTTAATTTCTTTAGATTTTTTTTTACAAAAGTGTATGGATTTGTGGAGATTTGCCTTGATTTAAAATTACTGTAGCTAACAGTCAAAAATTCTCCAATATATCCCACAAATCATAGAATAAATAAAAATGCAAAATAAAAGTTTATGAATGCTATCAGAGTGCAACTTCAACAAAAAATAAGATTTGATTATGATTGAATAATATTTCTTATTCAATTTGGCAGTGATCAGAATGTAACTGACTACATACCTATCACCAATAGTACCTTTGGGCCTCCAGTAACCACTACGATTCCACTCTAGTTGTTTCATGTCCATGTAATTGTAATGAGCTTCAATATTCTTTGGGAGAACACCCACAGCACCATTGGGAGCTGCAAATAATGAATGTTACATGAGAGAAACACTCATGTCACAAGAACACCCACAACACCATTAGGAGCACTTTATAATGCTGTGTTACAAACAATGACTCTATAACCATGCTGTAAGAACTCTGAATCATTTTAATTTGGTTGAGGGAGATTTTCTTGAATATCGTAAGGTAGAAAAAAACACAGAATTTTGTAGCAGTGAACATTTAAATTTTTTTTAATTTATCAAAAAAATAAGATGGTTTGCAGGAGTACCTTGTCAATCTTAATGAAAACCATTAAGTTAACAAGAATGCATATAGAAAAGGCCATACAGGGCACAGTCCCCATTAATTATGAAATTTAAGATACATGTGTATATATATGTTTTTTATAGTAATATAGTTGGAACATGTCAGAGATATGGATCCAGAAGCTAATTCTTGATTATGATGATTTTTACCATGAAAATGACATTCAGTCATTTTGTATCTGATCGTCAAACGTGTACTTGTCCAAATTGAGAAATATTGTTCTGGAACAGCATTATAATTAAAACAAAATGGCAAATGATTGATTCTAATGATATTTTAGCACAAAAATGGCCGCCATTTTGCCATCTTGAATCAGATCGTGAAACAAATTGATGTGCATGTGTATAATATTATGTATGATGTAGGTGTGAAGTTTGAATGTAATCGGACGAAGCATGCTCAAGATGTAGGTCCAGACACACGGATTGATGCACAAAGGTCAATCATAAGTTCCTATTTCCAGACCACGTCCGAACAAGGACTAGAATATACTTGTTTACATTTTCGGCACATGCACATATGCAGTGAGTGGTTCCTAAAGAGCATGTACATGTATGTGTATTAATTAACAAATTTTTTGGGCATGTCATTATCATAAGATAATGCTGATGTGTGCTTGACATTTGTATTATTGTTAGAAATAATTTAAACAAATAATACGACAGTGTGCCCTCATATACATACAAACATTTTCTCATGAGACATACCTGGTACAGCATCCATTTGAATAAGTGCAATATCAAGTTCTGGTAATGCTATGATATATCCTACATTCTGTGGGCCAGCCAGCACTTTGTCACCTAACATTGGAGTCTTAATTGTATCAAACTCTTTCCATTTTCTTGCAGTCAGGGGACGTACACGTCTATGGTCAGGTGTACTTCGCCCCTTTGCAATGTAATCACTGGTGGACAGTGGAGAGTATATGGGGGAAGAGTGTGGTCTCTTTGGTAATCCATTCTATGTGACAAATTAAAATAATGAGTACTGAAACAAACTGCAACTTTTCTAAACACAAAAAGGACAAGGAGAAAACTATTTAGTTTACAAAACTCGTACAAGCCTGTGGAAAAGGTACAAGTAAATGATGTTCAGTTAAGAATGGTGTCAAGGTAAGACATGGGACAGTTTAGACAGTTTTCAGGTTGTGGCATGGTTCAAGTGAGACAGGTTTTACCATCACTTATATGGTCAATACTCTGTAATTTTTAATTCTTTCATAATTTACTGGTTATTCCTAATAAGCATGTTCTAGACAAATAAGAAGTAGCCTGACTTGTTCACATGAAAACAAGAATCTTTAGTATTTTCTTCATAGCACAGGCAGCAGCCATTTCTCAAACACTATAAGTTGGTTACTAATCATGTCTTTGAGATACAATGGATTTTTCAAAAAGGTTCAAAGGTTAAATCACCATCACTCTGTTTAAAGCTTATACAACAAACATTGAGGAGTATTGGTTACTTACAGAAAGTACAAATTTTGATTGACTTCTTGGTGAGATCTGTTTGTTTATTACATTCTTGGCATTTCTTTGTATGCATTGTAATATAAACTTTGCTAAGTCTTCATATAATCTTCGGACATCATTCTGAGAGAATAAATACAACAATCACAATTATTGATGACTTTATAGTGACTGCGCTCATGTACATTACTTAAGACACATGTAATGCGGTTAACACAGTTTTAAATAAATTATTTCTATTGAGGAAGAAACCTACTCAGTAATTAAAATACCAAGAATTGTATAGTCATGTCTCAATAAACTCATCTCCAACCAATAATTGAGGTTGATGTCACTAGTATACTTTTTAAAAAAATACCGGTTATATTAGTGAATAGAAGCCATTTTGTCAGTATTATTTTACCAAATGTTTCCTTTTGTGGGGATATTTGAGAAATAAACTAACACCACAGTTGGGTATACTCTGTGATATGTGCTTGTATTGTGAAATATCAACTGGTCTATACATCAAGTGCTTGTTCAATATTTTGTAATCCATTGTCTCAGAAATGAAACGATATGAACATCTCATGTTGATGTGATGTCACAAAATTGACACACAAATCTTACCTTATTTGATCTGGCTTTATCCACAATGTTCCCAATTTTATGAATAATACTATTATCACTGGTTGCAGCAATTAGTAAATTGATAATACCGTTATCTTTCTCAATGAAATCAAAGAAAGCTGGAACAATACATAGAAGCTGAACCACTTCGGCTGCCAATAAACACTTGTACTCTTTGTATCTGAAAAGAATAATAATTATTATAAATCGGGTCAAAAATTACTAAGATAAGGGCATGCAACATAATGATTCAATTCAATGACTCACTTACAAATGTCAATCAAACATAGATGACCATGTCAACCAAACATAGATGACCATGTCAATCAAACATAGATGACCATGTCATTCAAACATAGATGACCATGTCAGTCAAACATAGATGACCATCTCAATCAAACATAGACGACCATGTCAATCAAACATAGATGACCATGTCATTCAAACATAGATGACCATGTCATTCAAACATAGATGACCATGTCATTCAAACATAGATGACCATCTCAATCAAACATACATGACCATGTCAATCAAACATAGACGACCATGTCAATCAAACATAGATGACCATGTAAATCAAAATTAGATGACCATCTCAATCAAACATAGATGACCATCTCAATCAAAAATAGATGACCATCTCAATCAAACATAGATGACCATCTCAATCAAACATAGATGACCATCTCAATCAAACATAGATGACCATCTCAATCAAACATAGATGACCATGTTAATCAAACATAGATGACCATCTCAATCAAACATAGATGACCATGTCAATCAAACATAGATGGCCATGTCAATCAAACATAGATGGCCATGTCATTCAAACATAGATGGCCATGTCAATCAAACATAGATGACCATGTCAATCAAACATAGATGACCATGTCAATCAAACATAGATGACCATGTCAATCAAACATAGATGACCATGTCAATCAAACATAGATGACCGTCTCAATCAAACATAGATGACCATGTCAATCAAACATAGATGACCGTCTCAATCAAACATAGATGACCATGTCAATCAACAGACTACTGTTATCATCTCAGTTCTTCACATTATAAATATCTTATAAATCCTTAATCACATTGAATGAAACACCACATTGAGGTTAGGTTCATTCATATAATGTTGTGTACTTATGGATATCATGAAATTCTTTTAGAGTAACTCTAAGATTTTCACTAGATTTTGATTCACTGTGCATGGAAATGAAAATAAACTGTGCAACTCTGAATGATTTCAATTACGTAACACTAAATAGTCAGATGAGAAACCACAAATTTGAACTACTTATATGAACTATTTATTCTTGACTAGACTCTGGAATAATATTAAGTTGACACATCATGGGTTTTTAGATTTAGTACAATCTGACACTGATTTTTGTATACCAAGATTTAATTCTTATAAAGTGGTTGAGTTGTCTCAAGTCACCTTCACAGCAACAGTATATGACTATGAGCACTTTGCAAAACAAATTCTAATAATGTGCAAATTTCTTATTGTTGTTGACATAACAACTATCATACAGGTTGTATTCCATCAAGTATACTATGATGTACTCAAGAGTTGTAATAATGATTAGAT